CCCCAAAACCCCAAAACCCCAAAACCCCAAAACCCCTTTTCACACTTAAATACTGAAATTGTCAACTTTAATTACGAAAGCTATTTTTTATTGAAGGACTACCAATTCAGCTAGTTTTGTTTGAACAGAGTTTTCAAAGACTCTTTCAAATTATTGAATGACAAGACAAATTGGGAGATAAGATATGAATTTAGCTGATCCAGTGCATTTTTGGTCTGTATTTATTAGACTTTTGGGCTTGTGAGATAGAAGGATTTGTAATTAAAGCATTGAGACAAGAAGGTAATTAGGAATTCAGGGTTCCTATAAAAGATCAAATGAAATATTGAGAGGGAGATTAGAAAATTAAACAAGGATTTGTAATAAAAAGAATTTAATGAAAATTGCGATTTTTTTGAATTTATAGTTTCTAAATGATATTTTCCACACAGACATCACAGGACTACATATTCCATGCTCGTGTCAAAGCTCTAATCGTCTCTATTGCTAGGTGTTGGCAATACATCATCTGTCCACCAAAGCCTAAACAAACCGTCTCCAAAGTCTCCCTCCCATCTCAATCTCTAAAATGCCTAAATTTTCCAGAAAACTCTGATAAACATTGAGAATGCAATAATTATCTATAATTCTTGCAAATGTTTCTTCCACTTAGTCTTGGTCGAGATGATACCTCCATTAGAAGTGTTCATCTCGGCAACTCTTGAGAAGGAATTTCTGTTAGTTGACACATACTTCCTTCTATCTTGGTAGCTCCTGTCTCCAATAATGATGGACGAAGAGTTTTTATACGGCATTACAACGGTTGGAGAAGGAAGCCTACTCCTATGAGCATTCGGGTGATACTTCTCCAAAGGTTTTCTCACCATTCCTGCATGTAAGCTATTCCTGACCTTGAAAGTATCTTTTGCCATAGAAGTTTTCTGCTGAGATTGTTTCAATCTCAGATCTTTAGGCACTGGCAGGGCCTTGAAAGGGATAGCTACACTCTGTCCGTTCTTCATAAGCACACGAGATCAAGACAGCACCTTGTTTCCTTGGAAGAAGGGAGAGCTTTTAGTATCCTTGATACTCTTGAGTGTCTTGAAGTGTTCATCATTTTGCATCTTCTTCATTTCCAAATGATCTTGAGCAGCCTGATCCATGATCCAAAAGTGTTATAAATAAAATTTAACAAATTAAATGGGGTTTTGGGGTTTTGGGGTTTTGGGGTTTTGGGG